AGACCAAGTCGGTCCTCGCTGAGAGGAGCAGCCGCAAGGCTGCGCTGGCGGAGAAGGACGAGTGAACCAACCAACCCACCAAGCAATTGTGCATCCTATGCTGACTCACTCCACATCATTACCCGTTCTTTCACCTGAAGTTTTGCTCCAATTTTATGTGATGGGCTTTGCGTATCTCGTTCCAGAACTATTAAGGCATACAATCAGTTTCAAGAGTTTGTTTTGATGTCGGCGATGATGGTTATGATCCTGTATGAGTCCCTGTAAACATTACTCTCCTTTAATAAAGTTTAGCAGATTGTTCTTCAAAAACTTTTAATCTGAAGAGGGGCCTGCTGTGCCGCTCATGTTGCTTCTGGGTAGTCCTTTTCAAATTTGATCTTTACTCTGCCATTAATTATTGCATTCACAGAGACCCACTGTTATTCGACAAACAACATATCAGGAGTCATCCTGATGGAATGTGGAAACCCAGACATGGGCAACCATACCTACAGGAAGGAACGCATGCGAGGGCGCACTATGGACTGTGCGCCGTCGACGTAGATGGTGGTGCCTGTCATGAAGCGGGAGTCGTCGCCGACCAGGTACAGCACCGTGGAAGCGAGGTCCTTCTCTGGGTCCAGCCACCGCCGCAGCGGCATTACCTCCCTGGTCGCCTTCTCGGCCTTCTCCTCCCCAACAGAGACAGGGAACTTGTCCCCCAGGTGGAGGCCGCGGCAGACGGCATTCACCCTGATCTTGTGCTTGCCGAGCTCCATCGCCGATAGCTGAAAAAACAAAGAACATCATGGTCATGTACGCATTCAGGATTTCCGTGATTAATCATTCAGGCTTTTTTGGTAACAAGGAAGAAGGCTTACTCTGACGAGCTGGTGAACGGCGCCTAAACTTGTGCCATATGCCGCCGCCCCCGGATACAATCCTCTCTCGGCGCCGATGATCTGGGTCAAGCATACCACAGAGCCGCCGGACTGCGCATCGCGGAACCGCTTGGCGATCGCCTTTATCAGAAGCCAGGGTGTGATTACATTGACTTTCATGGTCTTGTTGTACTCATCTTCAGTCACGCTGAGGCAGTCTTGCACTTCCCCTGCTCTTACAGTCAAGCAAACATTTCATGGTCAAAGAGGTCCATGGGTGAAATTAGTGGACGATAAGCTGACTGAAAGATTCAGACAACATTTGGGTTGGTGATTAGTCGGGCTTGGGCATGTGTAAAAGATTTCTGTCAGATGGGAAATCGGGCATGTGTATCAGTGTCTGTCAGTAGTATGTGCATACCCTCGTAGGAGCAGCAGTTGACCAGGGCGTCGAGTCCGCCGTCCCCGAAGCAGCGCCAGGCCGCCTCCACCGCGGCGCCGACGGCCGCCTCGTCGCAGGCCGCGAAGTCCAGCCCAACCACCGCGACGGCCGCCGCCCCTCCGGCCGCGCAGCGCCGCGCCTCCTCCGCCGTCGCGGCCAGGGCGCCCTCGTCGCCCACCAGGACCAGCCTGTACGCGCGCGCGCGCGCTTAGATTCAGAACCGAGCAACAGGAAGAAGAAGGGGAACGGCGGCGAGGTGAGAGGGAGTACCTGCAGCCGTGCCTGGCTAGGCCGACGGCGACCCCCCGCGAGACGGCGTCGCCGCCGCCGTTGCAGGCGAGCAGCACCCGCTTCACGTAGGCGGCGTCGGCGGCCATCCCCTTTCCCCTTCTTGCTCTTCCCGGCTGGCAGCAGCGACAAACACTCCAACAGCGTCGTCGCCTTTGCAGCGAGCGTCGACACGTCAAGAGTTATAACAAGACGAAATTTTACCCAGTCGTCGTCTGCAATGTCGGGCCACTCCATACACGTTGGTGTTACAAAATTTACGAATCTGATAAGTATCGAACGTTCGAGACAATGCCAGCTCCGAACGGCTTTAGACGCAAGTTTGATGATGTGAGGATGACAACTTTAATTGCCAAGCATAATAACTTTCGTGCTTCAGCAGCTTGCCCCTAACTTGCCATCCTCTAGTCAACTTATGGCCTGCTCGGTTTCTCTCCAGCTCCACGCTTCACCAGCTCCATGCGTAGAGTTGTAGAAGTGCATGCTCTAGCCAATGCAACTAAAAGACCGATCTGATAAAACAGACTAGACAATACATTTATACGTCAACAAGAGCGATGCCAAACAGCCCAGGTCCGCGAAGCCAGCTTTAGGAAGCATAGCCCTCCCGCAACACAATTTCGTGGAGCAGCGGAAGCGTAGCTCCTCCAAACGACGAAGAATGAGTTGAATGAATTTACACAAGAATGCCATTCCAAAGTGACTTGCGTACCATTTCGATTAGAGAAGACACTCCTGAGCAAACCAGTGACCTCACGACCCCAGTGTCAGACTAGCCCGTGCCTCTCCTCTATGGCCCATGCCGACGGAGCAGAAGCAGTCGTTGCCGAACGCTTCACCGCTCCCGTGCGAAGCTGGCTTGGCTGGCTGGCCAGTTTGGGAAGCCAGAGAACTTCGGAATGGGGCCTAAAGTTGCCAGAGAATAATGACCCACAAGTATAGGGATCAATTGTAGCCTTTCGATAAGTAAGAGTATCGAACCCAACGAGGAGCAGAAGGAAATGACTAGCGGTTTTCAGTAAGGTATTCTCTGCAAGCACTGAAAATATCGGTAACAGGATAGTTTGGTGGCAAGGTAATTCGCAACGAGTAACAAGTAACAAGTGTAACAAAGGTGCAGCAAGGTGGCCCAATCCTTTTTGTAGCAAAGGATAAGTCTTGACAAATTCTTATATAAATCAAAGCGCTTCCGAGGATACATGAGAATTATCATCAACTTAGTTTTCATCATGCTGATATGATTCGCGTTTATTACTTTGATAATTTGATATGTGGGTGGGCCGGCGCTTGCGTGCTGTCCTTACTTGAACAAGCCTCTCACTTTTAATTAACCCCTCTCGCAAGTATTCGCAACTACGAAAGAAGAACCAAGATATATCTAACCATAGCATGAGACATGTGGATCCAAATCAGCCCCTTACGAAGCAACACATAAACTAGGGTTTAATCTTCTGCCACTCTAGCAACCCATCGTCTACTTGCTACTTCCCGCCTTTTCCTAGGCCCAAATCATGGTGAAGTGTCATGTAGTTGACGTTCACATAACACCACTAGAGAAAATACAACATACATCTCATCAAAATATGGAACAAATACCAAATTCACATGTTTATTTATAACAAGACTTCTCCCATGTCCTCGGGAACAAACGTAACTACTCACGAAGCATGCTCATGTTAAAGATCAGAGGGGTATTGAATATCATTAAGGATCTAAACATATGATTTTACACCAAATAAACCAACTAGCATCAACTACAAAGAGTAATCAACACTACTAGCAACCCACAGGTAACAATCTGAGGTTCTGAGGAAAAGATTGAATACAAGAGATGAACTAAGATTTAAGAGGAGATGGTGCTAGTGAAGATGTTGATGAAGATTGACCCTCTCACGATGAGAGGATCATCGGTAATGACGATGGCTTCGATTCCCCCTCCCGGAGGGAAGTTTCCCTGCAGAATCGCTCTGATAGAGTCCTAGATTGCTTCTGCCCAGGTTTCGCCTCGAGACGGCGGGCTTCGTCCCGAAATCTTCCTTATGATTTTTTCTAGGTCAAAACCTTTCATATAGCAGAAGATGGACACCGGGGGCTGGCC